ATCAATAATTTTTGACTTGATATGGATAATTTAGTATTTTCTAGTTTTCTATTCAAGGGGGTTATGTGCTAACTTCATACCATAAGGGGGTCATTTGCAAAATGTCAAAACCACAAGGGGGTTATGTGCCTAATTTCATACCATAAGGGGGTCATGTGCAAAATGTCAAAACCACAAGGGGTTTATGTGCCTAATTTCATACCATAAGAGGGTCATGGGGGGGGGGGGGGCGCTAAATGGTATAAATTAATAGATAAATAACATAAAATATTAAAAATTTAATAAAAAACAGGTAAAAACAAAATTCTGCAGGGGTGGAGGCCCCCCCAATGTATACCTTGGGTCCGCCCCTGCACATAATCACTAACACCTTCAATAATTCTTTTTGGCAAACGACCTTCCTAGGTCAGTATGGATTGCATATCGATGTGATGTTCTTGGGATATAGGACTTTCGACCATAATGTTTGAAATGCAGTCGCATAAACTGAAGATGAATATGGATCAATCTCAACGTAGGAGAAGACGGCAAAAGTTGAATAATTTAAGTTGGTGGTGAGATATTTTAGATATTGGCATTTCCAGCCCCATATGGGGCCTTTTTATATTTGAGTTACAATAATCAGCATAGGCATATTCTTTTAGTTATTTCTTTTCTTACCCACTTTTGGGGCTTTTGTGTAATAGATTGTAAGAGGGTTTTTTTATCCGTTTTTATTCTTGATCTCTTACGGGTACTATTTTCCTTGTGTTACGCCCACAATGTTTTTACTTTATACTTTCATTAGTATTTAATGGATTAAAAAGAGCTTGGCCAAAAAAAAAAAAGTAAAAAAAGAGGGTTAAGGGTTACATAGCCTATAAATCCAGGGTGCAAAACGTATTTAACCTATTTTCTTCAAATGAATATTACGGAATTAAATTATTTTTTATTCAAAAATTAAAACATGACTGTTAACACTAAATAAATGAAGAATATTACAAAATACATGACTGTTAACATTAAATCAATCAAGAATAATAAACAATAAAATTTTATTTATTCAATGTCACCCTTTATTGAAACTTCACCAATAACACCATTGAAATTGACGAACAATGAAAAAGCACAATGTTGTGGCAGAATGGTGCAAGAATTTGGGGAGATTTCTGGTTATGTATTGTATTGTGTTTGTATAGATTTGTTGATCGATGTGAGATAGCTGCAAATTTTTTACACAAACAAGATATAGAAGGGGATTTTATGTAAAGTTGTTGAGTATCCCTCCACAAGTTAAAAAGAAAATATCACTCCTTGTAATTACAAATTTGGGATAAATTGTATAATATTGTTGTTTGTTAATAGCTATGGATATTTAAGATTAATCAAGTGTAACATAGAAGAAACTAAAGAACCATCCTCAATTTTAAGAAAATAAAAGTACACATAATCCGACAACTACAATTCAAGTGATATATACAAAAACCGGATTGAAAAATGAAATCACCTATTACCAGATTTCACGTAAACATGTTGAACTTTTCCCTATTCGGAGAACGGTCGTTTGAAGTCCAAATGGCTAAACTCGAATCCAAAATAAATTTATCCCAATCCAATGTACGTGTCAGACTTTGAAATGTATAATATAAATAAGTATGTAGTATGAAATTCCCTCAGGAAACCACTATATAGATCAATGAGTGGGGATCATGTCATGCAAAATAATGTCGTTGAAAATAAATGATCGGGTGAACATAATCTTTAATTTCAACACTCCATGTCGAATAACCAGCAGATTGAAGCCAAAAATTGTATTTAAATTTTGGGTCTATTAGATATAACCCCCTTAAACATTCAAATAATAGGGGTAGATCCAAATTTAAATTTGCCATTTTGATAAAAACCCAAACTTTTCTAAATTACATAAGTACCCTCAATCAAATCCCACAAATCCCGTTACTTTACCTATTGAAATAATATCAAATCCCTCTCTATTTTCCCGTTAAAACACTATCCCCACAAAACCACTATCAAAATCTGCAAAACGTCCCAAAGAAAACCAGAAATTTATACACCGGCGATTGACGATTTTCTGCACTCCGAAATCCCTCCCTATTTTCCCGCCGGGTTCGCCGCTTCCACCTCCGACCGCCGCCACCTCCGTCACCGTTGTCGCCGGTGGCCAACGACGATAACAACGATATTGGCCATAAGCAACACCTCCACCATAGCCTAGTCCTCCACCACCACCACATCCGACCACCTCCACCTCCAAGACCGCAAAAAACGACCAAGACCTCCGTCGCCGTCGCCGTCACTGCTCTAGGGTTACTCAAATCTAGGGTTTTGATAATTCTTCGGCCCATAGTTGATTAACGAGATGCATAGTCGAATTACATCTGTATTAATATACTATCCCATATCATTTAATAGACTATCCCACTGGTATAATTTTACTATGGATCTCGTTAATCGACTATGGGCCGAAGAATCATCAAAACCCTAGATTTGAGAAGTGACGGCGGCGGATTTGTGTTTTAAAATTAATAGACTATCCCATGTATCTAATTCGACTATGGGTTTAGTTAATTGACTATTGGAAAAATAATAATATATATGGAAACTGAATAATATGTTTGTTTGAAATACTAATCAATTAGGGTAATTTTCCTTATTATATGAAAACGATTATGGTAAATAATAATATATATGAAAAAATAATAATATATATGGAAACTGAATAATATGTTTGTTTGAAATACTAATCAATTAGGGTAATTTTCCTTATATCGTGTAATAGACTATCTTATTGATCTAATTCGACTATGGATCTCGTTAATCGACTATGGATCCCGTATTATTCAACCACATAGTATATTAATAATTTCAATATAGTACATTAATCTGCTATGATAGTATATTACGGTTATAGTAGTGATATGAAATTGTGTTACAAACAATATACCACTGAAATGACAAGAACATTGAGAACAACACCAACGTAAAGTATTCCAACATAACCAATAAAATAGAACATTAATAATCTCATAATTTCAATCTAGGGTTTTGATAAAATACATAAACACATCATAACACAATCAAACCAATATGTCGAGTTAAAAAACTCTAGTACATTAATAATCTCATAATAGTATAATAAAATGATAATGGTAGTATCATGCGATATTCATAATAGTATACTACTGTATTACAACGGTTTAACACTTAACCGAAGTTACCGAGCCATTACATCGTAAACACCTCTTTATAGCAACCAACCCACCAAACCTCAACAAAATCCGTACGAAATTCGCCATCGAAAAAACCTAAAATCATGAAACAAAATAAAAAATGCAGAATACTAAAAAATGATTAAATAGACTGCAAATACATTTGAATGACAATACATTAATATCATCAAAAATAAACTTAAAATGCAAAATCCATACGCTAAATTAAAAAAGACTACGAACTATATTTTAATGTACTACCCAACACACTTAAATCGGCTGTTATAAACAAATAAACCAACTATCGATCGGGATAAAAAACATGAACTCGACCACAGCGGACAATTATTCCGATTATTGCATAAACCAACTACGAAGCTCATATAAAACAACTCTGGTCCGATCTGCGTGAACCATCCTCTTCTAACTCTGTCAATCCTTTTTCCAAACAAACATCATCATCTTCTAACGGACAACGATGAACGCTCAAATCCGAACCTATTTCCACGCCGTTGAAAAAACGATGGAAACGATGAAAAACGATGAAACGCTGGATAAATTCTTCAAAACCGGTTCAAATCCGAACCCGATTGAAAATGATGAAAACGATGGAAAACGATGAAAAACGATGAAAACGATGAAATCCGAACCTATCTTCAAATCCGATGGAAAACGATGAAACGCTGGATAAATTCTTCAAAACCGGTTGTACAAGATTTGATAGAAACCGCCAATATACTCACGTAATTTTATTCCGTGATTTTAGGCAACATATCAGCAATCTCATATCACGTAGTTAAGAAAGTAAATACCGTTCAAAAATAAAACAAAATAAAAAAGGGGTATTAAAGGGAAATTACATAATATATTTTGCCAAGTTGGCAAATTTGGGTGTATCTCAAAAAGGGAAAAATTAATTGGATCTACCTCATTAGAAAATATGAACAAGGGGGTTATCCCTAATAAACCCTTAAATTTTATATTCCAATAAATGAACACATCGAGGCATTAATACTGATAAACTAAAATACGAACTTTGTACTAATTCAAATTGAAAATAACATACTAAAATATAATTTTTATTTTAAATTTGAAAAGTGTGTCATAAATAAAGTTTTTTCGAATAAGATCATTTAGTTCATTCTAATATTGTACTAATCGATTATAAAAAATCACGATCCTGTTCTCTCTGTCGGTGAACCAATTCCATATTATGATCTCAGGCAGCTATCGAAGAATCAAAATAAATAATGCAATTAGAATTAGAAGTGATGTAAATGTAAAAAAAAAATGAAAAGATTACTTTTATATATTAACCTTTTGAAAGATGCACTATTCATCCACCCTTGAGTCACATAGAAGGTTTCATCGAATTGGTATTCGAGATCTACAGACAAACAGAAAAAAAAAAAAGAATAAGGAATGATAAATTGGATTAGTAGTTATTAAATATACACTTTAAAAAAGATAAAGTATCTTCATGGGGAATTAAACATTGTAGAGGCTATTGCAAGAAAAAAGATGGAAGATTTTAAATAACCTCATTTTCTTCATTTTGTAGCCTCCTTGATGAGCCTCCTAATAAACATAATACCATTAGTTACTATCTTATAATATTCATACATTATATATATACACACACATTATATATGTATGGAAAAATTATTTTACCTGCATTTAGAACTTCTTTGTAAACAACATTTTTTGTCGCCCTTTTTTCTCGAACATTGTTGGTATCCGGCTTGATTAGAACTTTTGTTGTCGATGATGAAGTTCCTCTTGATAGAGCTACATATAGTTGGCCAGGAGAGAACACTGGTTGAGGCAAATAGACTCCTATATTAGGAATTGTTTGGCCTTGTGCTTTGTTGATTGTCATAGCGAAGCAAAGTCTAATCGGAAATTGCTTACGCTTGAATTTGAAAGGATAACCCTCATTTTCAGCTGGCGAAAGTGGTATTCTAGGAATGAAAACATGTTTGCCGACGTGTTGGCCAAAGACTATTTCCGCATCAATGACATTGGATTTGAAATTCCTACACACCATTCTTGTACCATTGCACAGTCCATTTGATGGGTCCAAATTCCTTAGGAGGATTATTGGACAATTTCTCTTCAAGACCAACTTATGCGGAGGCAAGCCATTTGGAGTCAAAGAATTGAGAAAATCTTCTTCATAGTTATTATTTGTATCATCGATAGCTTCATCGAAACTTTGAAATGTTCTTGCGTCTCCCGGAAACATAGAAATTAACTTATCATTCAATTTATCAACTTCCTCATTTTTAGATGCTAATATCGCTCGAGTTGTCATGTAAGTAGATGATTCAGCATTACTACTCAAGCTCGGGAAAATTGAATGAATAAGACGTGCCATGGAGTCCTCTTCATTGTCATACGTCACCACCATCTCTTCAGGAATTATAATGTTACCCTCAATATCAGAGGTTTCCTCTCCATTTCCAACTCTAAGTAAGAAATCACCAAATTCAGGATCTTTTTGCGCTCTCATATTCTTAGACAAAGAAAATTTTATCATTTTATGCCATAGCCTTGATTTCACCAAACTGGCAGAAATAGTTTGGTGAATTGTACCCCTTGGAACCACGGGTAGTACTTGCCTAAAATCACCACCAAAGACCACCACTTTACCCCCAAAATGTTCATCATTTCCCATTATGTCCTTGAATAACTTATCAACATTCTCAATAGCCCATCTTTTTGCCATTGGAGCTTCATCCCATATAATTAATTTTGTTGTACGCAATAGATTAGCCACTCCACTTTGCTTTGATATATTGCAGTCACTGGACTCATTTGCATCGATTGGTATTTTGAAACGTGAATGAGCTGTTCTTCCGCCAGGCATTATTGCAGCGGCAACTCCAGATGTCGCTGTTGCAATGGCTATTTTTTTTCTAGATCTTAAATGAGCTAACAACGCACGATATAAGAATGTTTTTCCAGTTCCCCCTGGGCCATCAATGAAGAACATACCGGCTTTACCTTTGTGTATGAATTCTAAGATTACTTTGAAGGCATCTTGTTGTTCTTTATTCAGTTTTTTCTCGGCCTCGTAATCTTCAGAAGGTATTTCTATTGACAACTCATCTTCTATCTCTCTTGACAGATTTGTAGTCACGTGGTTAGTATCAACTGGAGCACTTGGAAGATCATATGATTCCAATTTTTTCCCCATGCTCTCCAAAAAATAATTCACACTTTGGAGAGTTCTCGTAATTTGTCTCTCCTTTGATGTATCATTTTCTTTTCTAAAGTCCTCTGACATTGCTTCAAAATATGTGTCCCAAAGAACTCTCACATCTGTTGGAGCACAATATACCAAGACGGTTGCAAATAATCGGCGCAATTCATGTGGCATTTGAAAAGTGATGGCTTCATTTAAACATTCAATAACACTTTGATCAGACTCTAGTAAGCCTCTTTTTTGTGATGCTTCTTTGAAGTTAGCACATCGTATTCCATTAACTGTTAAAAGATCTAGAAAAGATGTTGGACCTCTTACATGATTCAATAGTAATCGAAGATAATACCGTTCTCCTTCCATAGGATTTGCACCATGTATACGCCCTATCACATCTCTTTTCTTTCTTTCAGACCAACATCTACCTTGCTTGTCCCATACGTAATATTCTGGGAACTCCTTGTAAAGGTATTTTCGCGCTTTTTCACTTCTCGAACACATTGAAAAATACTCGGTGAGCATTGTCTTAGACACATGGTCCCATTTGAGGACGTTGCTCAAATTTTGATTTGCCCAGTAAGTGACACATTGTTGGTTAGGTAGATGAAGATGGAGGTCAATGACTGGTGGAGATATTTCATTCAAATTGAATTCGTAAATCCTCCAAATGGCTTCTTGAGCTGAGACCCATCGAGCATCTTGATATTCTTTGATCTCATCAATATTATTTTCTTCATCATTCTGTGAGATATTAACAGCCACTCTGTCATGCCCTTTGTAGATATACTTGTATAGATACTTAACTGCTGTCACTCCAGAACATATCTCAACATTTATATGACAATTATATCTGGACAAAAGATATGGGTTATATGGTACTACCCACTGGTTATTTAGATGAGCTCTGCGAACTTGGACAGTAATTCCATTTCTTCTCCTTTTATATATCGGATATCCATCTTTGCCTTGAATCGTGCTTTCACAATATGGTCGTGGATAATGATATTTGCATTTTTCATCAACCATACAAGAATTACTCTTGTTCTTTGACCCACATGGTCCATGCATCATATGTTTCACAACCAAGGCATGAAGTGCAGGATGTTTTTCTGGATCTGGAAGTTCTGCACTCACGAACCTATCATAGGTATCTGGAGTGGTAATTTTATACTCCGACTTCAGTATAATCAACATATGAGCATGTGGAAGTCCTCTTTTTTGGAATTCAATCACGTGCACATGTGCAGCCACTTTTCCAAGTATCTCCTTTTTAAACAACTGATCTTTTAAATCTTGCAATTTTGCTCGAAAGACTCTTGAGGTTAAATCAGGTCGATCCTGAGCCTTTTGACCAGGGTACAAATTTTCTTGTATTTCTGCCCACTCTGGATTGCAAGTCATTGTAATAAAAAAATCAGGTTTTCCAAACCTTTGGACTAACGCCAATGCATCAAGATATCTACGACGCATATCTCTCGGACCTCCGATAAAAAATGGTGGTAGAATAATTCTTTTTCCAACCTCGCTGCCTCTTGTCTCTCCTTGTTGTACACTTTTCATGATTCCTTGGTATAACTCAGATCTCAAATTAGACTGATTATGTCTACAGTAATCTAACCTTGTTGTCTCTAATTTTATGTACATGTCGACAACGTATTGTTGGAGTAGACGTCCTGCAAACAACAATGTGGATTGTCGTGGATTTCTTATTTGTAGCCTGTAACAACTATACTCTCGGCAAGAGACCTTTTTATTATTTTCTCCACGGATTCCTGCAATTTTAAAAAATATATAAAGGGTTTTAAATTTGGTGTAGGAAATAACAGTATGCATTTGTTGGGTAAGATCAGTACCTTGTTGTTTTTGTGAGAGAATGTCTTCTGCGGAAGTTATATTTTTCGCAGCTACATCATTTGCGGGTGTGGGAAATATAATTAGGGGGGGATTATAAATTGTTGAAGACACTTAGAAAGGGGGGGGGGGGGGGGGGGATAAATATTATTTTAATGCTCAATTAGAACCATGGTCTTGCAACTAATTTGGTGTACAAGAAGTGTTTGTAATGATATTTATCCAAAAGTGGGATAATTACATTTTTGGTCCCTCATGTTTGGCCAAATTTCACTTTTGGTCCCCCTTGTTCCAAAGTGAACAAAGTTCACCTCTTAGTTTCAATTTTAAAGACTTTTGGTCCCTACCGTTACATGTTCCGTTAGCAAGTAACGGAAAACACTATTTTGGGGTGAAAAATGAAATTTTGAAATTTTTGGGGCTGAAAAATAATAAATTCAAAATAGACTGCTTATAGTTTTTAATAATAAAAAAAGAAATCAACGAAACAAATTAATTTTTTATTATACTTAATATTATTATAATTATACTACTTATAATTAAATTTTTAATAATAAAAAAAATTAACTAAACAAATTATTTTTAATTATACTACTTATGATAAAACAAATTAATTAACTAAAAAAATATTTTTTAATTGTAATTAATTTTGTTATAATTATACTACTTACAATTAATTTTTTAATGATAATTTTTTTTGGCCAATTTCTTTTTATTATTTCACTTTGATGAAATGTTTTGGAGCCTCGTTAACACAGGGAAAAAGAGTGCCCCTACAATGGCAATAAAAAATCCAAAGAGACCCTATCGAGTCTTTTGTTTTTAATAATAAAAAATAAATTAACTAAATAAATTATTGTGAATTATATTTAATATAGTTTTTAATTATACTACTTATGATTTTTTTTAATAATAAAAAAAATTAACTAAATAAATTTCATTATACTTAATATTATTAAAAAATTAATTATAAGTAGTCTATTTTAAATTTATCATAATTTTTCAGCCCCAAAAAAATTTAAATTTAAATTTTCATCCCAAAATAGTGTTTCCGTTACTTGCTTACGCACATGTAACGGCGGGGACCAAAAGTGTTTAAAATTGAAACTTGGAGGTGAACTTTGTTCACTATGGAACAAGGGGGACCAAAATTTAAATCGAGCCAAATATGACGGACAAAAAGTGTAATTCTCCCTCCAAAAGTTTATTGTGTTGCAAAGAATCATGGTAGGAGATTTTTAGGGGGAAAATAGAATTATTCTTATAAAAACTAAACATCATTTTTTTTCATTTATTATTGTAAATGTAAAATGAATTTTTTTAGGCTTAATCTCTCTTTGCACCCTTGAAATGGTGCATTTACGCACCTTGCACCATTGAAACATAATTATAGTACTTTGCGCCCTCAAAACACAATAAACCATTCACAATGCACCGTGAATTGAATAATAAACGCAATTTCATTTGTTATTGGTTTTTTTTTCGGAATACAAAATAACAAATTAAAGTTTTAATTTATTCAACCTCCAATCTAATTTTGAGCGCACAAAGTGCGAAAAAAAAACATACTGGATTATTAAAAATAATTTTATCGTCTCACAAAATAAAATAAAATAAACTTTTGTCCGTAAATTATTCGGTTGATGGATCTTTTATTGCAAGTGGTGGAAATATTAGTTAAAAATATTTGGAATGAATATGAATTTCATATAACTTGATGAAGAAATAGCTGAATGATTTTTTTTTGTAAAATATATATTTTGTGATAAAAAATATAATTTCTAAATATGTTGATGAGATGTATTTTTATTCTTGCACTTTATAATTTCAAAATAATTGATGAATAAAAAAAAAGGATTTCACATTTGGCATTCTAAAAAAATTCCACTAAAAATATTAAATTACCTTTATTAGCTTTAAAATTTTATTTGGGGTGCATTATGCATGATTTATTGTGTTTCGAGGGTGGATAATGCCATTAATTTGTTTCAAGGGTGCAAAGTGCCAAAATTGTATATTTCAGAGGTGCAAAGTGGAATTAAGCCATTTTTTGTTGTAGAATTACTTGATGAAGTAAATGAATAAGAAAAAGACTTTGTTGTTCTGACTTCTGTATAAGTAACTCCACTAATTGGTCAAAGAAAACATTATGAAATTGTTGGGTAAAATGATTAATTTATCAGTACCTTGTTGTTCTCTTGCGAGAACGTCATATGAAGAAGTTATATTTTCCGATTCAGCAGCTTCCTCATTTGCTGCAAAATATAATTAGAGATAAATTAGAACTTGTGGAAGATTAATGGTACGATACAGGGGAAAATAAATATTCTTTTTAATGCTCTTTTTAGTTTAACCATGGCTTTGTAAAATAATTAGGTGTAAAAGAAGTGTATGAAATGGTATTGATTCAAAACTTTATTTTGTTGCAAAGAATCATGGTAGGTAATTTTGAGAGGAAAAAATGAATTATACTTACTAAAAAAAGAAACTTCATTTTTATTTCATTTATTAATGTAAATGTAAAAATAACATTTCTTTTTTTTGTTGTAGAAGTACTTGATGAAGTAAATGATTAAGCGAACCTCTTTGTTGTTCTGTATATGAACTGATTATAGTATTCGACGTCTGGGCTCCTATTTTTGGTATATTTTGGTGCCACCCTGTATCACCTTTTGGAAAGAGAAGGGGATATTGCATCGGATCATAACAACCGTAATAATGTTTGATTCTATGCTTATGGCCTGACCGTGCATGAACAACAATATCTCGTTCAGCTGGTATATGAGGATCATTTCCTTCAACCCAAATAGCTGCTACTTGATCCGCAGTTGGAGAATTGTAAACACGCTGGTCTAATCGCACGTCTTTCGAGATATGAAGTTGAACATTATCCATAGAAGGATAATCCTTTAATGTCCTGAATAATCTTGCATATGGATTTACCTCCATAATTTTCATAACTTTGTTGATTATAGGTTCAGATAGTTCCGAATTATCTAGAATCTTTAACCGATTCTCAATCTCTTTTTCGGTTTCAACAAAATATAACTGAAAATTGGTAGGGCCAGCTTCATTTGGAGTCAATCCTGGAAGATCGTGATATACCATGCCTTGTGCTCGAAAAGTGTAAACCCCATGCTTTGCAGATGCAAGATCCTTATCTAATTTCACTCCTAATAAGGTGAAAGAGAATATGCAATTCAACGCACGGATATTCTTGCGAAAGGTTACAGCTTCTTCTGATTCAGAGACAAACAGGTCATACATTTCATCTGGCATTTCAATAGGCGCAACTCTAACTTTTCCATTGCCACAACAAAATGTCTTAGGTTCATATTCAAATCTTACGGCATGACAATGTATGCAATTAGGAACGTGTTTTAATTCATGCAACTCTGAGCATACAGGATCATAAATTGTTAGACCTGGTAAAATAAGAAAACAATAAAGATTATATTAAAATTACAAGTGACATTTAGATTAATTAATTAATTCTATACCGAAATTACCTTCTGATCGTCGGCCAGGAATCATTTGTGCTCTTAAAAGCCACTTAGTAATTGGCGGTTTTTGGCATTTTTCATTGGTAGAAGCTAATGCTACTGCATTTGATGCAACTTCTGTAAAAGGGCTAGTCACTTCCTCATGCATAGGATTATGGTTGTAACCAATCGAATTTCTTTCTTTCCTCAGCGTCTTAGCTTTTTTCACTTTAGTCTATGTACTTTTGTTTGTCTATGGCAGTTAGCTCGGCATATTTCCTCTTCATCCTAGCTAATTTCCGCTGTCGTAATACATCTACAACAATAAAAGTAATGTTAATTGTTGTCAATATACATAGTAAAAAAATTATGTATAAACCTTGTTGAAGATCCTATTTCAAATGAATTTAAGAGCAATACTACAATATTTAAAAATTAAATAAACATACCTGATGTTGACTCCATATCGTTACGTTGTTTATGCATTACCATGTTTGAAGTCACTTGGTGCAAAATATATCTGTAAATGATCAAGTTATCATATTAACCAACAACTACATAAGTCATCCACTAAAGGAAAATTAACATGTTATGCTCATCACAATATATTTAATACTTGACACGATATTATAATATTGAATGAGTTCCCTACAACAGATATGGAATTAGATTACAATGAACAATATTCGTCTAACAAATGGTGAATAGTAATGCTACAACAATTGTAAGTATTCTAACATAGGATAGGAAATTTAGAGGTAAAATGTTCGATATAATTAATGGCTACCTGTGTCTAGAATTGACCAAAGAAAAGTTTCAATTTTTTGGTTAAATATATATATTTTATATGTTGGGTTGAAAATACATAACAGATAACAAAAAAAAATTCCACTATTTGTATTTATAAAACATTCATGTGCTAAAGCTTAGGATGATTAAGCAGATATATATATACCGAAGCAATTCTTATTTCCTTGGGTCTGTGATTAATCCAAATTTTATTTGGATCTTTAGTCTGTACAATTGAACTCTTTATAAGTTTATACACTACATTCAAGAGCAACATCTCACTAATGTATATATTAGTTGTACCACATTCAAATAAAGAATAAGAAGAAAAATAAAATGTAAATCATGTACATCATTCATTATAAAAGAAGAGATTCTAGCTAATAAACTAATAAATTGGTTCTATTTTCATATATTTTAATATTTTAAACATTTATTCAGTTTTTATCACCACCAATACTTAAGCGCATTTAAAAACAAATCCTTTGACGACATAGATTTTCATATGAACCATGGAAAAATGAAGATATCTTTCAGAGTAATAAAAATTTGTCATGGTCTTTCCATGGCCTATAATCAACGAAAAATAAAGTTTTTCAAACACACTTACACCGTATGATGGATGTGTAATCATTCGCCAAATTGGGAAACTCTATCAATCGTAGTGACTCGGGTAAGAACAATTTATATTTGCCGTTGTCAATAAGAATATGTGGGAAATCTAAAACAAATGTTATGTTGGAATTAACGTTTAAAGATGTAGCATAAAAAAATATGTAAAGGAAGACATATTTGTGGGAAGTGGATTCTATCAATTTGCTTAGGTATGTACGTACCCGATAAACAAAATCAAACTTAGTGCCTACTCTTTGTGTTATATGGATATTGTTTGGAGTACAATTTGTAGACATATGCAGCTGTTACTAATTAAATGGAATTTATTTTGTAATTATGACCTTAATTTTTCTTCATGTATGTTTTTATTACAATAGAGAAGCAATGACTCTTTGTATGCAATTGTTTCTTCAATTTAAGACTTGTTGGCAGTTTTTGGGTGATGTTGGATGGATCCATGTAATGGTAATTATTTTGTAATTAATGACTTAATAATTGTGTGACAATACCAAAAGATGCACAATTAGATGATGAGTTTTATTAAGTTACAAACATGTGAAATGTTTGTGAGACGTATTTTGAAGTTTTTTTTTTTTTTTATATAGTTACCCCATTTTATGACTAATTATAACTTAATTTATAAATACATGGAATGAGGTGTTAATAAACAAATGTGGCGTCCAATTCTAACCTATAATAAGGAAATGGCAAACTTTCATATTTTTTAGGGATGATAATCAATTACATATGAACACCACATCTTAGAATTTAGTCTATTAAAATTGTTACAACCTTTGCAGAGTAATTATTATTTAAGTTGGGGCATTTGATAAGAATTACTATCTTATATTTTCCTCGAGTCAAAACAAACTTATTTCGGCAAACTTCGAATAGTTTGGACACCTCTCTGACATTACTCTCTCGTCCCACCTCCAAATTATATGTGTAAATATTATTCGAAAAGACAAACGAAGGATCTACAACTTTGAAGCTTGGAGTTTTAGAAAATTGGGTATATATTGAGGTCTAGCAGGAGATCAAAGTCTCTGGACATGCAGGCTCTGAGAATTTCACCAAGGCCCCACTTAAGTAAACTAATTTGGGGGGTGCTTGAAATAAAAAACAATCTTTAAAAAAAGGGTTAAATACACTTTAGACCCCTAAAATATACCATATGTAACGCTTACCTCTTTAAAATATCATTTGTAACACTTACCCCTCAAATACCATTTAATTTACTGATAAAAAAGCACCATTTAATTTGTGTTTCAAATTTTAATACATTCAAAATTTTATCTTTTATTGGGATGGAATAACTAAAAAGAATAATTATATTATATTATTAAAACCACAAGGACCTTAAAGTTATATTTTAGAATACTTCAGGGGTGTAGGTGTAATTTACCCTTAAAAATATTATCTTGCGTTGGGTACACATTTAATAGGCTAAATAGCAGTTCACACCCCTGTCGTTACAAGCTTTTGCAGATGACCCCTGGTACTTGTAATATCTTCACATAACCCCCTTGTGGTTTATGTAGCGTAGCTTCCGTTAGTTTTTCCGTCAAACTTAACCGCGTGAGTCAAATTTTAAGGGACTGCAAATAACTTAAAACTAAGAAAACATTTTTTAAAATCAATGAATTCCAAATAACTAACTATTCTTGAATTTCTACGTCATTAATTTCACAAAATGTTACGTTTATGCAAATTCATTTATAATAAACTTTAAGAAATTCATCAATGATTAATACTAATCTTCAGTACTTTTATTTATTTTAATTTATTAGCTTCTGAAATATGGTTTCGTTCATTATTATACAATATATATTATTAATATATATTATTATCAATGTTGTACCAATAATTAAATTTTACTTACTATTAAATTTTATATGATCCAATAATTATTGTATTATTGTGTTATTTATTCTAGCTAAGGAACATAAAATTTTACAATTTCAAATATTGCAATAAATTTTAAATTGATACTTTTATTTAATTATATGAATTATTTTTCAATTATTCCATCCAATGAAAGTGGAAATATATTAAGATTATTATTATTTCTTAAAATTTAAGATACAAAATAATTAATATTGATGGATTAAGTGTTACATAGACTATAAACCAGGGGTGCAAAACATGTTTGACCTGTTTTCTTCAAAAGAAAAGAAAGGAAAAAAAAAATTATTTATTCAAATGATGAAACATGACTGTTACCTCTAAATAAATGAACAATATTATACATACATGACTACGACTGTTAGCATTAAATAACACAAACTTTTTATACAATACAATATTATTTATTCAATGTCACTTTATTGAAAATTTACAAATAGCAGCATTAGAAATGACGAACAATCAAAAATCCTAATACTGTGGTTGAGTACTGCAAATGAACGAAGAAAGAATATTGAGAGTTGCGCAATAATTTGGAGAGATAATGTATTGATATTGTTAGAATCCTATGGATTCTAATTGTACGAGAATTAATAAAACTTGTGCCACAAGTTTTCTTATACCGTGAGCTAAAGAAGGGAAGAGTCCTTGTAGCTTTTAATTCTTTTAATTTGTCATTAATTGATTTATAATAGGAATTATTCTTCTAAAGAGTTATTCTTATTTTAACCCAAGATTTTCTTGTGTGCAGGTCTCCTATTGTTAGAATCACAATTGTCTAATTATTCTCAAAGTCTTGGGCAACAAGTCTTCATGTTGCCATATAAACTGCCGTGTGTTTTTTTTATTGAAAAAGGAAGAAGTGGTTTCCATTGGTTTATATGTTGTCATTAATTGTGATATTATTTTATTTGGGAATTAGTGTTTGAATAAGAGTTAATATCTTTTGATAAGATTTATATCCTAATATGCCTGATACGTATTTTGAATTGGACTCTTGTAGGATTCTTTATCAGGCTTATAAAAGTGGAGCAAATACACGTTAGTGCTGTGCGGCTTTTTTTGGAGAGAAAGATTTTCTCTTTTCTGTGTCGCTCTTCAAGCGTCTTTTTTATCGAGAGAAAAATTCACAGAGAAATTATTATTTGCTCTCGTTTTTATTGCTCCATCGTGATACGTGATTTTCATAGAACATATACCGGCTTCAAGGCTTTGTGGTGAAGACACCAAGATTCAAGGAGTATCACAAGTTTGCTTCTTCTATACAAAAAGAAGATCGGTTCTTCGGGAGAGGGGCTTAAACAGATCTCAGGAGGAGATCGATCCGCCGACTGAGGGATTCAGCGTTGAAGGGAGTTCAACCGTGCGGAGCAAGGGACGTGCTGCAAATTGAAGATTTATAATTCAGCGTAGTATACAAGAACGGCGTCAACAAAGAGGGAGTCTTTGTATTTTGATTAAGTCCTAATATTGTATTCGTAAAACTAAAAATTAGTAAATTTTATTTGCAGGTCCCCGTGGATGTAGGGTACAGTTGTATCCGAACCACATTAAAATTTGTGTCTCGTTTATTTCTGTTTTTACGAACTGTTTCACGAACTGTTGCAACACTTCACGCAACAGTAACGAAAAACTGAATCTGACACAAATAATTTATATCTGCACGAAATAAATTCTAATTGATATTTCGGTGTTTCTAAGGATTTGTTAATCGGGGTTGTGGCTTTGGTAACACTTGTGGGATAGTGAGGGTTTCATGCCGGAGAGTTGGGTCTGTAGATATAGGATGAAATTGCAGGCGAGGTTGATGGGTTGGAGGTAAAATCCACTGAATCTGGATTCGAGATTTAGTGAATCCCG